GGATACTTCCATAGCTGGGTTAGTTTCTGGGTTATATCATTATGTGTGTCAATGGTCAGTTGTTGGCTGTTGTTGCTTCTCTGTCCAAAGGGCACCCTTTAGCATCTCTTGTAAGGCTGGTCTGGTTTTAACAAATTCCTTTAATTTCTGGTTATCTGGAAATGTCCTAACTTCACCATCATATTTGAGGGACAATTTTGCTGGGTACCTAATTCGTGGTTGGAAAATTTTCTCTTTCAGTGTTTTATATATACCATCCCATTGTCTTCTGGGAGCTCTGGTAGCATAGTGGCTACGACACTTGCCTGCTAACCAGATGGCTGGCGGTTCAAACCCACCAGCCACTCCTCGGAAGGAAGGTTGGGCAATCCTACTTCCGTAGTGATACTGCCTCGGAAACCCAAGGAGGGGTCGCTATGAGTCAGGGCCGACTCGACGGCACGTAACAACAACAACAACAAATTGTCTTCTTGCCTACATGGTTTCTGTCGAGAAATCTGAGCTTAGTCTTATTGGTTGCCCCTTGTAGATAACTTTTCATTTTTCCCGTGCTGCTCTCATGATTCTTTCTTTGTCTTTGGTTTTGGTAAATTTGATGATGATATGTCTGGGTTATTTTCTTTTGGGGTCTATCCTGTTTGGGGTTCGCTGGACTTCCTGAATGGATATATTCTTATCTTTCATCATACCAGGAAAATTTTCTTCCAACAAATCTTTGACAGTTTTCTCTGTGGTTTTATTTGTCTCTTCTTGTTCTGGAATTCTGATGACATGTAGGTTATTCCTTTTGATGGTATGTATCCCACATAAACCTTAGGCTTTCTTCATTTTGTTTTTATCTTTTTTCTGATTTATCCCTTTCCAAAGAAGTGCTCAGGTATTTGCCTTCGATTCTGTCTTCCATTGATTCAATTGTTCTCCTTTGCCCATTCAATGCCTTATCTATTTCTGAAAATTTAGTATTAATCTCCTGGATTTCTGTGTGTACATTTTGTATCATTTCTAACTTTTCATTTATTTTGTCATTTTGTTCTTGTATTGTTTTTTGAAATTGTTCCAAGGTTTTCTCTGTGTTTCCCTTGATCTCTCTCAATTCGTTGAAGATATCTAAATATAATTCTTTTGAATTCCTTATCAGGAAGTTCCAGTGCTACATCTTCCTTAGGGATGTTTTGGGTCTGTATCCTGGTCCCTTGTTTCTGCTGCTTTATCTTACCTCTTTGTGTGGACTGTGATGCTCTTTTATCTCCATGGCATTGTGATGTTTTTATGTTTGTATTTAATTGGTGGTTGTATGTTGGAGTGACTTGCCCACAATTTTTGTTTGCATGTTATCTACGCAAGCAGGGTACTGTGCTGTGCTCCTCTATTTGTTAGTTGACAGCACTTATATACTGTCTCCTTTCCTGTTGTCAGCCTCTCGGGTGTCCCTGCCGACCTTGGCAAACGGAGCCTATTCTTAGGTCCCTGGAATCTGAATGAATGAGAATGCTATCACTTTAAAATCCAAAATGGTTGCCACTTGTAAAGATTCAAAATGGCTGTGCCCTTGGTCACTTTAAATATCCAAAATGGCTGCTGTGTGTAAACAATCAAAATGGCTGGGCTCTATGGCCAACAGAAAGTCAATAGCTCAGGTTGTCTCCCTCCTTGCGGTTTCCCTTCCTAGTCATAGGCCACCAGCGCAGTCGTCCCTGCAGCCTTTGTTGACCAGGGCTGATCTTTAGGTCAACTCTCAGGTCCCAATACCACTTGGAAATATTTAGGCTGTTGGTCCCATCAGAGTAGCTGATAGTCCGCAGCTCTGACCGTCTCTGTACTCACTGTTTTTGTTCAGGTTTTTCCACTAGTTGATGCCTAATCCATTTCTGCATAGTTCCTCTCAAAGCTCAGGGCTCCAGGATTATCTTCTGTATCTCTGTCAATTGGTTTTTCTTTTCTTTGTTGAAGAGGGTCTGTGTCGCTTGTCTGCCTGTCCCTCCATCTGATCAAAGTCCCAACCTTTGCTTTTTAAATTTATTTCTGCCCTGTCCCCATCAGGCCTACTCAATCTCTCCTTATGCCTAGTAGCTTCAATTTTTACAAAGTCCTTTTCAACTCTAAGGTTTTAATAAGTTACATTTTCTTCGACTTTCATATTTAGATATTTAATCTGCTTGGAATTACTGTCATCAGATGTGATGTATAGGTTGCATTTAATTTTTTTCCCTCCAGAATGGAGAGCCTGTTTTTCCAATATCAATTATTAAAATCAATTCCAGGAAACACTGAGGTTTTCCAGCATCCACTAAGAAAATAGGAAAGGTGCCTGGTGGCCTGCCCTGCTGGAATTCCTGGGGCGGATCCTGCTTGTGTTACTGCTTACTTTGGGTAGCAGGGCTGGGCCGGTCTAGTCCAGCAGGTGCAGCAGGGCTGGGCTGATCTATGACATTGCATCTCTGGTCGAAGCAACCGTCTGTGGATTGCTAGTACTGCGAGGCCTGAGGGTGCTGTTGTTCCCCATCTTTCTGAATTATCTGGGGTGCGTTTAATAACCTGGGCCTTCCCATTTCTTGACGGTACATGAAGTCACTGTTAACTGCATTGGCCCACTGCCTACTTGCAGAGCTGTTCAGCTGACTCATATTTTCTAAGTGGGTCCTGCCTCTTTCTGAGAAATTTGGCAAACTTGTGTTTCCTTGGAAAATGACATTTTTCAGTGACTGAAAAATGTATTCCACTTCCGAGCTCTATGGACTGCTGGTCTTCCTGCCAACGCTACGCGCACACACATGTGCTTGGAGTGTGCGCCGAGTGTATATTTTACCGGGTTTTCTTAGTATATCCTCACTAGTTTGCGCTTCTACTTTTATTGTATTCCCTTTCCTGTCTCCTTAGATTCATCCCATGGTTTTTCCCCAGATTCTCGGGTTGAATGCATAGTTGTTTTGTTGAGGACTTTCCCCACTGTGCTATCGCGCTGAGTATTCGGTGCTGACGTGGCTGAGTCTGCTGCATCACTGACCCTTAATGCTGGAGTCTAATGGCTAGTCTGGGTCTCTCCCCCCGGGGGACCCAATGTATATTTTTCTACCCGGATGCTTTTCTTCCATCTTTGTTCTTTCACTTTGGGAAGGCCTGTCTTCTCAGCTACCTGTCCTATGGCACCTCTTCGCAGCTACCTGTCCTATGGCACCTCTGCAGTGTTTTGAAACCGAGCCATCTTTCCCAGACGCCTGATCACCAGCTGCACTGGCATCCCAGATGTCAGGTCCATGTGAGAGTGCTATCAGGTGCATATGCTCTCACTGCTACCCAGCACGCCATCTCACGGGAGCTCATCTGCCTGGGAAGCTCAGACGTGGCCCTCTGATCTCCGCATCTTCATAGGTGCAAAGGTTTCCTTTTTCCTGAACCCTGTAGAGAGAGGCTGGCCTTTTTCCAGAGGAGAGCTGGGAAGACTTTTGTCAGGTCCTATGTAGGCCTCTGTTCAGATGACCCACTGTAAACATGCTATCACAGAACTGGCCACGGAGATGGAGGGAGCTACACACAGCAGGCGGCTCAGCCCCATGCCTGGCAAGTCTGTGCCAACTGTGGCAGGCCCACTCTGCTCAGCCCACCAGCACACGAGGGTAGCACCAAGCCAGCCTCCAAGGTACAGACCTGCTACACGTCCTAGAGACACTAAGAGAACCAACAAGCTGCTCCCCCAAGCACCCTAACAGCACCCCAGCTGAGAGCTGACTCTCTGTGGCTGTCATAGACATCTAGCTGGAGGCTGGCAGGCATGCCCTCCCTCACCACCTCTTCCATCTGCAGGCGGTAAAAGCAAGCCCTCACGGTTTCTGAAGTGCGCATAGCATCTGTGCCCGCTTTCCAGGGCAATGAAATCTTCCCTGAATTTCTTTCATTCCTTTGGAGGTCCTGGTGGGTCTGCAAGCAGCCATAAGTGTAAGGGGTACAACACAGGTGCTCTGCTGACCACCTGGTAGGAGGGACCCTAACTTTCAGACTTCCTGAAGAGCTGAACTTATCCAGTGAGCCAATGCAGCCACTCGTCACAACCACTGTTCCCATCAAAACTGGCCTCTGTGGGAAAGAGGCGGTCCCGGACGTCCAGCGTCTCAGGGAAGTCCCTCAGGTTCCCTGCCCTTGTGACCAGAGCTGCACACGGCCTGCTGAGTGGTGCTGCTGTCCCATGTCCACTGCCCCAGCCACCAGACAGGACACGGTGACCACTCATAAAGCATGGGAAGATGTTCCGCTGCCCACAGGACAGTGACCTCAGTGTGGAACAAGCTCCCTGAGCATCCAGACTGTTTCTAGCCGTGTCCTGCTTGCCACCCACCAGAGTCCCCAGGCCCTGCACCTCCGCTCACGACTGCATCCGTCTCTGGAATCCCACATAGCCCATGACAGCTGGCTCAATCACCCAATCCCCAGGCCCCACACCTCCGCCCGTGACTGCGTCCCTGTCTCTGGAATCCTGACCATGCCACGACACCCAGCTCAACGCCCCTTCTGCACAGGGCCTCCCCCATCCCTCCCTGGTGGCACTCACTGCTTCTCCATATCTGACCAGGTGGCTCCTTGCCAATCATTCGCTCATGCCTCATTCCTTCTGCCTTTTCCTATGCTGACTACTCACATGGCTGCCTGTCCTTCCAGATGAGAAATGCCCTCTGGGAATAGACCAGGACAAGGTCAGGGGAGCTGGGCCTGATGATAGCCTCAAGGGACTTCTAAATGACACACCTACTGCACTGAAGCATCACTGGAAACAGTCTAAACAGTTCCACTCAATCGCTCGGAAGAAGAGGTGGCTATACTCCCCCCGACACTCCGCCTTAAAACCCGCTTATGTCGAAATGATCTCAATTCCAAATCTGGAAAGTGCTGCAAGGTTAGCAAGTCAAACTCCAGTCTCGGTATGAGCTGCTGCCTGGACACTGTCCTAAGTCCCCTGGACTCCTTGTGGCCACTCAAGGCACAGCGCTCAGGTGTGGGGGGCAGCGTACCTTTCACAAGTTTCCCGTCCGGCACGGCTTTGCCGGACGCCGCCTCCTTCTTCCCAGAGGGTGCCCTTCCTCCTCCCTCAGCTGCATCTTCAGACACCCCGTCGTCCACGGCCTCACTCGGTTTCTCAGGGGCAGACTCGGCGGGAGCCTCTTCTGGTGCTGCCGCAGCCTGCGCAGACTGAACAGGACTGTAAGTCGATACACGGGAAGTGACGTGGATTTGTCGAGAGAGGTGTGGGCCCCTCACTGGACCACAGCGTGTCCGCAGGAACGCCAGGGAAGCATTAAGGAGCAGACTCTCAAATACACCGCTACCCCTGGTAGACCAGAGAATGATGAGAGGACAGGGGAGGTTTGCCGACCTGGGAATGCGACACTACTCGGATCATCTCTGGACAGCGGCTGACTGCTCAGGACGCTTCTGGGGTGCCAAACTATACCTATTGCCTGCCGTGGACTGATCCTCTACATTGCAGCACTGGGTGAGAAGCCATGAGGGAGTCTACTGACAGCAAGCCCTCCCTTCTGTCTCCAGCAGTGTGGAGTTAGACACCTCAGGGCATCTGTGTGACTGAGAAGAGCGGACAGGCAGAAGGATGGCAAGAGCATGAAGACAAGCTTTGAATGCTGTGACTCCTGACAACACGTGGGCCGGTGTCTGGGAGGCTGGGCCTGTGGAACCAGCACTCAGGGGCAAAGGCCCACTGAGCACTGCCCTCAACTTCAGGCCACTGGCTGTAAGCACACAGGTTAATGTCACGTTTAAGTATGTATTAAGGCAGTGACACGTACAGCCTCCGTCCAGTATCAGTAACAGTCTAACCACTGATGCCTGAAACACTGGGCTTTTCTGTCTATAATCTGGTCCAACAAGCACCAGAGTGCTATGCACCTGGCTGAGTGCCAGCACACCAGAAGCATGCTCTATGCTGAGTGGGCGTTCAAGGCATCACATGCCACCTCCCTGGAAGCTAAGGTCAACGGGCCTTTCAGACACACTGAGACACAGGCACTCCCGTCCTAAACCGGAGCCATGAGGCCAGCCTGCCGTCTTGCCCTCCCTACCCCACAGACGTACCTGTGCACTGTCACCACCTTCCTTCTGGAGGAAGAACTGCTTCTTGAACTCGTAGTAGGCGTTGTACTGGTGCCAGGGCTGCAGGAACTCAAACCTGGGGACAGACGAGAGGGTCGCTCTTGACCACCACCCGACGCGCCAGACGCTAATGCCTTATCCCCTCAATGACATTACGAAGTTCCCAGTACACCCTATTTTATATGTGACAGAAAATGCAGTGTGGACAGGGTCGAGGTTACACAAGTCAGCCCACAGACACTATGCACTTGATGTTGTGCTACTACTTAAGGCACAGAATGTGATTTGATTTAAAGAAAGAAAAAGCGGGGAAGGTTGTGTCGAAGTTCCTAGGGAAGATTCTGGAAAAACATGACTTCCAGCCTTTTACTTTCAGTAGCTTCAACATTTTCCTTTGAAAAACTAAACCAAACCAAACCAACCTAATTCCAAAAATCCCACCATAATTCCAAGCAATTTAACATGAGAATTACAAGATATATTTCTCTAAAGACATCTAAACCAAGAAAAGGATTAAGGATGTCAGAGAAGGACTTATGTGGCTAAGCAAGCTCTGCCCCAATTGGGTGCCACACATGTCACACACACGGGTCACCTCACCTCTGGTCGTTCTTGGCCCGGACGCTGGTCTCAAACTTCACCCCGTTCCTGGCCACATACTCAGCCAGCTTGTCAATGACAGGCTGGATGTCCGGGGGTGGAGGGATGATGGCTGCCACTGGGGTCAGGGCACTGCGGGGAGAAGAGGCTGGCTTACTGTCCTGTGCAGACAAGACTGTGTAAGCACACCCTCGCCCACAGCTCGCCAAGGATGCAGCCAGTGCAACGCTGGTCAGCGAAACAGTACTTAGTGTCTCAGAGGCTCACACAAACGGTAAGCTGTGACTGGTTCTCTGAAAAGCTAGGCCAAGTCAACCTGCTTGGAAAAAAAAAACCTGGCTGTCGTCAAGGGACCGAAATATCACCAGAATGGTGGCAATGAGGACTTCACTGAACAGCGAGCCCTGAAAGTCACAGCAACAGGTCCGTTTCCCCTCCCAGTTAGCAGATCCCTGCAGTTCCATCCTAACCAGGCAAGCCCCGCCTTTTTCTTGTCACAGGAACGAGACAGTGAGCATGAGCTGACCCCTTCCCTTCCCAGGGCATGGCCTGTGGGTGCTCATCAAAGGGGCCCCTTCTGCAGGAATATGTCACTGCCTCAAGGTCCCTAACCCTCTTTTCCACTTGGGTGTCCAAGCCCCCCTTCATCCACAGCAGCTCTGACCTGTACTCTCACCAGAGACTGGGCAACGGGAAGGTGGGACCTAGCCCTCACAGTCACCTGGGCCAGTGTCTACTCGCCGGATCCCTGCTTGCCAGAGGCTTGTCAGAGTCAAGGAGTAGGCCAAGGTCACATCCATCAACTTAGGAAGCTCTGCCGTTTCATAACCTGTGCCCAGGACTGTGAGCTGCCAGCTGAGGAGCTGACACAGGGCAGGCCCAGAGGCTGGGGTGGAGGCGGTCATCTGCTGACAGTCCACTCTGAGTGCTGCTATGTCCATGTTAGGACCTCCTCTGGGGTGGGGGGAGCCCTGTGAGTGATCTGGGTCACAAATCCCGATGCGCTGTGGCGGTGACTCTGCCCCTCAGAGAGCAGGGGCTGCAGCACACAGACCTTGTGGTGGTAGTTGTAGAGGTCACCCCACTGCTTGTCTCTGCGGTGGACGGTGGGGGCGGTGGTGTGGTCCCGGGAGGTGGAGGGGCAGTGGTAGTCACACTGGTGGAGCTGGACACGGTCACGCCAGCAGGCAGGGTGCTATAGTAAGTGGCCACGTCAATCCCAGGAGGGGGTGGTGCCAGACAGCAGGTGCCATCGGGCAGCATGTAGTAGCTGTAGTACATGGCTGCCACTGTCGCTGTCAAGAGACATGGATTTACAGTGAGTGGCAGGCGACGGGCCAGCGGCCGCGGTTCACACTGCAATACCAGGTGCGATGCCACGGCCACCCACATCCCACCTCACCAATCCCTACACTTTCCTGGGAGCAGACACACAATGTAGGGGAACCAGGTAATGTCAAGGCACACCCCAGGGACAAATGGGGTATGAGCAGCCTCACGGATATTCACAGCAATCAAACACAGACACTCTCTAGAAATTAATTTTCTCCCCAAGTTCAGAATGTACAGGTTAAAAAAAGTCCCCTCTTTAGACTAGTCCCCTTCCTTCTCTTACTCCCTCTGACAATAGTCTACACCCACTGATGCATGTGTGTCAAGGGTCGACTACATGGTGGGCACTGTGTCACAGATGCTAATGAACACCCGTACACAGGAGATAGACGCTGCCGTGTACCAAGCTGTGGAGGTTGACATTACCACACAGTGGGCACAGTATCACTGATGATGGACACACACGCGGGAGACAGACGCCACCCTGTACCACACTGTCCAGGGCCGACATTACCACACAGTGGGCAGAGTGTCACAGATGATGGACACGTACACAGGAGACAGACACTGCCCCGTACCACACTGTCCAGGGCCAACACTACCATATGGTGGGCACAGTGTCACAGATGATGGACACATACACAGGAGACAGACGCCACCCTGTACCACACTGTCGAGAGCTGACATTACCATACAGTGGGCAGAGTGTCACAGATGATGGACATGTACACAGGAGACAGGCGCCGCCCTGTACCACACTGTTGAGAGCTGACATTACCAGAAAAAAGATGGCAAAATTCCAAAATAAGATCCAGGGCCCCCCTTCGCTCCCCACACTTGTCTTCAGCACAGAAACATCTCAAACATCTCTGAAGACAGGTTGCTGGAGTGAGACGATCCTGTCTGACAGGAGGCGACACTGTTTCTCTGGCCCCAGATGGGGCAGAGGCATTGTGTTACTTGCCACCGTGGCCCCAGCACTGCGCACACACATTTATTATGTGAACAAATACAACCAGAATTCTCCTCACAGTGAGGATGGGAAGACATTGGACGTGTCCTCAGGGAAGAACAGTAGCTAGAAGTGGGGGGTCAGCGAGAAGAGGGGAATCCTCACCGAGACTGACTCACTAACACGGTGGCTGCAAGAACAGACCCAAACACAGCAATGACTGCGAACACAGCCTAAGAGTGGGCAGCGCTTTGTGCTGTTGTACGTAGCGCGAACACGGCATGTGGGAGGCATCTTCTGACCTCCTCTAACTTTACGAAAGGAAAAGAGAATTGCCTTCGGCATCAACAGCCCAAGACCGGTCCCTGTGAAGTCCAAGTCAGACATGTCGCCACCCTCCAACCTTTCTGCCAATTCTGACCCCAACTAGCCCTCCCATAGCGCTATTTCTCTGCTGGGTTCCACGACCCAGTGCAGTGCTCAAGCAGAACTCACAGACAGCACTCACGATGATGGGTTTACTAGGGAAGGAACAGGTTACACACCAGGTTCTGGAACACTCAGCATACAACTCTTCCTTCAGGACAGCCTCCCCTCGGCCACGCTCAAAGCAGGTCTCTCTCTGGCCCTCAGCCTGGCCCTGCCCTGCTAGGGCAAGTGTTACAAAGCCCTTTTAGCTCTGCTTCTGCGCCTGCCGTCACTCTGCCACCTCAGCAAAGCATTCTTGGCTCCAGAAGTCCAGTGCAGGGATCCCAGCTCTAAGGACACACTCCACTCCTGCTGCTGCTTCTATCTTGACGGTGGTGCGATCCCTTTCTGCCTCTGGGAGGGCTCATTTTAAGCCTAGGTGATGGCAGAACTGACCAATCCCCACGTTAGGGTTCCATATGCCAACAAGGGTACCATGGACCACATTTATATTATCAGCAAGCTCTTCAATCCCCTTGCTGGGCCACGGGCACCTCACATTAGTCTAGTTTCACCCCGTCATGTGGTGGGAGTCAAAGACCATGGCCATAAGAGCCAGAGCGTGTAACTCACTGCACTGCAGTAAGGTCCCTGTGAGTCAGAGCCTGCTCTGTGGCACCTAACACCAGCAGCAGCAATGACACTGGACGGAGTGGACAGGCGTGACAGTTTGCATATCGGCTTTTCTTACCAAAAATTAAGCATTCAAGTGTAAGCATATTCTTGAGGGAATGGCCACTATGTCCAGTCGTTCCTACTCTAAACCTGACACTGTTCTGCTCCCACAAAGGAGGCCCCACAGTGCAGCCCTGCTCCCCCAGAGCGGGCATGGCAGGACCAGGTGACACTGACCCACCACCACTGCTGGGCCCAAGTGTCAGTCTGAGTGGGAAAGAATACACTGCCTACATCCGTCTCTTAGCAAACAAGCACCACTTTCAATTGTAGCCACAACAAACAGGACACGTGAAGTCACAGAAACAAACAAGAGATGATGGTTACGTTTTGGCCGACACCATGTACCGTTTGGGTCGAACGAAATGTATTTTTTATGTACCTAGAGAGACGTGACTGTTTCAAACCACAGTCTCATGCCTGTGAAAGGACTAGCTTTCAGTCTATGCCAGACTGTGACTCCCCAGAAACCAGCAGTCAGTCAGAACCATGGGGTAACCAAAAGCAGTGCTGACTAAAGGATAACGGAACTTTTATGACGCGTAGCGGAGCTCCCATGATGGTGTAAATATACAACAGAGCCCGCTCCCGAAATGGCCCCGAGAAACAAAGCCCCAGGAGGGCGACAACCCCTCGTACTGGCCCCAGGCTGTGTGAGAGACGCCAGCACTACTACTGAAGCCCCTCTGTCGGTGCACCATCCCCCGTGCCCAGATGGGAAGTCCTGCTTGGTGCTGCCACAGGCACGACTCTCAGGTGAGGCCCCATCCTGAGGCCAACGCAGTCCGTGTGCAGCTGGAGCTGCAACCTACCCCCGTGGCACTCAACTGCTGGCACGGCCACTGCCTCGCGGGCTCTCACAGACAATGACAAAGCGCCACCTGCCCAGCTCCCAGCCCCCAGCAAGCACTGACAGACATTGACGAGCAAGGCTGGCCCCCCTTCTAAAGCACCCGGTGTGCTCCAGGGGCCCGCAGGGAGCCCTGGGTCCTGAAGCCGCCATGACATCACCATGCCTGTTCTCGAGGCCTCTGAGCACACAGCAGCACCACAGCAGAGCCACCCGTGGGGGTTTGGAGGTCACACACCAGGTCCTTTACCTGGCCTGAAAACCCTTCAAATTGACCAGCAGTTACAGCGGGCGGGCTTTTTCTGTGCACAGCCCCATCCAATAACTGACACCCACTACATCTGAGAGCCACCAGGCAGTGCAAGGAAGAGGGTCAAGTTCACAGGTGGATGCCTAGGCACTCACCAACCACACTGTCCCTAGACAGGTCAGGGCTGGGCAGCACCAGGGTCCTGCTGGCCTGTGCCAGCATCAGACTCAGGCACGAAGCACGCGAGGCGGCTGCTGCTGTTCTGAGGATTTCACAGGCAATTTCCCAAGAGGATCAGTTTTACAGTCAGTGCAACACTGAGGTGGTGGGACTGACTCCCATCAGTAAACGACAAAAGCCGACCCCCAGTATGCTCCACTTTAATGGGCCTGTCCTTCCGAAGGCAGATGCAGGCACACAACCAAGGACGCTACGTGAAGAAGGAGGCGCGCTCAGAAGTCTTTCTCCCCAGGACGTTGTGCTTCAAGATGCACCGAGCACACGGGTGGACAGAGCACCCGCTACCTTCCCGATGGCTTTTTGTCAGCTGGCTTCTTGCAGAAATCCGAGTCAGTTTCTTGCTGTTTCTGTGAGATCTTCATCTCAGGTACGTCTAAGTTGCAGAACAGAACCCTAGTGTTGACAGGGCTCTCCAAGGCTTAGCGGGGTGGTGGGCAAGCTCTTTTGCTTGAGAGACAATTCGGGAAAGAGGAACGTGTTTGCATTAAAAGCAGAAAGAGTTGTACCAAATCCCATGGTGAGAAACTGGCATATTCTTATGTTTTCAGCTGGGATTTGGGTGACAGTTTTGTGAGCAAATTCACTTTCCACTTCACAACTCGTACAGGTTTTGTTTTGTGACACAGACTGCAATCCTCACAATGTAACCACTTCTGTCCGTGGTTACCTTTTCCCTGTGCGCTCCCTGCCTCTGCATGCCTGCCCTGAGCTGTGTAAAATGCTGCCCAGAAGTAAGGATATTCTTAAAACAGACCCGGCTTTATGAACCAAAGTTTTAAAAACGTCCTCCTTGATCCTGGATAGAGAGGGAAAACAATGTGGAACAAAACTCAAAATCATTTGGGGCGGAAAAAAGGGGGGACCAGGTTTGCTGGTCTGATAGAGCCTGGTGGGAACACTGAGACTATGCCCCCTAGCTGCCCTTCAGGTCTGGAATTGAACCCACTCCTATGGCTTTCAGCCAAACAAAAGACAGGCATGAGCTCAACATTTACATTAGGTAGATACACTCCTTGGAGAGATCAATCATGGAAGAACTAAAGGGCTGTTTATGCACAGAGAGACAGCTCGGGGGGCCGGAGTGCACGGAGGGATGGACACAGGGAAGCTGTAACTGTCAGGAAGAAGTGGGAGGGGAACTGTCGCACTGTGGTAATTTGTAGTCAATGTCATGAGACAAAGTGTATGTGAACAGCTGTATGGAAAGTGAATTTGCTCTGTAAACTTTCACCAAAATCACAATTAAAAAAAAAAAAAAAAAAAAAAACCCATGCCCCCCTTTGTAGGTGCTAACATGCCTTTAGCTGAGCATGTGTGAGAAGCAGCAACAGCAGACACAGCCTTCTAACTCCCGGCCCTGTCAACACTTTGAAGCCGATGGCTGGAGGTGGGACTGGCTATCTCTCTCGGCCCTGCTCCCACCCTTTCCGGGGCTACAGATACTGTCCACAGCACCGATGCGCTGTCACCGTCCACGTGCATGCCGAAGTCTTCTCTAAGTTCACTGGCTTTATACTCTGTGTGTACC